CCAACTTAACCAACGGCTCCAGAGTATTGAGTTTATTGTCGCGAAGGTTGAGACCGACGATGTCGGGCGTGTTGTCCATAATTATGGTGATAACGGTGTTCAACATATTGGGCCGACTCAGCGACACGTAGAGACCCAGTTGTTGAAGATTATTGTCTTCACGGAGTTTTGACAAATCCATCACTTTGTTGTTCGGGTCGTATCGTTGGCTCATCACTAGCTTTATAGTGTCCGTCAACTCCTGGTCTATAGGCATCGGTGGGATCGCCGATCGGTTAACGATAACAATTAGCTTATGGCCCGAAGGAGCGGCGATTTTACGGCTGATTCCCTTCAAGGCGTCCGCCGTTTCCAAACCCAATACAAAAAATACAATCGCTTGGCCCTCATTGTGGTACTGGAGGTAAAACAACATATTTAATAAAGGGGTTCACTATAAACACACCATTGTGTGTATGTGTGAGACGTGTCGTACATTATATGGCGTGAAGACGAGTTGCATCGTGTCGTGAATGAGCGTCAAAAGTGTCGTTTTGTCCATTTTGCTGCCGTAAGGAATCTGTTATGGTATTCAAATGTTAATTAACACTTCAAATGCATAGAAATTAGCCATTAATACAAACCGTTATTTTAAACCATTGACTGTCGATATCATCCCTTTCGCGGCCCGACTGTTGATTATATGACTGTTGGTTGCGTCTGAAGCCGCGGGCATTACGACCAGCGGGTGCGGCGTTACGGCCGCGACTCTTATTGGCCCTAAAAAGCACAAAATCATTATTTTAAAAAAGTTTCAAAACAATCAAAACATGTAAAACCACTGACCAATTGGCAAAACTACGGTCATTGCGTTCGCCGGGATCTACGCGACGCGGATATGCGGCCGAGTTGTTAAACCCGAAGCGACTGCCGCCGGCGCCCGACTGGTTCGGGTGGTCTCTGTTGCCCGAATTGAACCGTATCTGTCGTCCGGAGCCGTCGTCGCGATTAGTGATGTTTATGTTGAGATCGTCGGCACTACTGGCGTTCCGGTCGGCCGACGACCACTTTGTCTGCTGTTTGGGTCCGTATTTCCCGCGATATCTTCGGCCCATATTCTGGCGGCTGTTGTAATGGCTGTTACTGTTACTGTTGTTGTTGTCGTTGTAATCACGCGAATACCCTCCTGTTTATCATCGGATCCAATGGTCATTGCGGTCATCAATGGTAGTGCCAAAGGGGGAGAGAGGGGTGTCGTGGGGTTCGGGTGTGATATAAATGGACACAAAATAAGAGTTAATTCACACATGAATTGGCATTCAATTCAATACATACTTTGATTCATTCAATTCGTGAAACACAACGTGTTTTATGCGTTGGCTTTGCGTTTGTCTTAACGTTATAACTATTATTACAACCAAATTATTATTAACTAATATTAACTAACGATTTACGCTATTATTGATGAATTGAATTCAATTTAATGTATGTTTTGTTTTAAATATTACGAAATGTGTTGTAATTTAAGCGTTAATTAAATGCAACAAAAATTGTTTATTTGTTGTGTGAATACAAAACACTATTCCATAACATTATGGCTGCAAAGCGTTGGCAAATATGTGTCACATAAATAACGTTATGTATTGCTGTTGTGGGGACTGAACGGCATTGCGATCACATATAGTTATGGAGTGCTATAAGTGGGCAAATTGTGGGCACATATAAGTGTGACGTTATTTGTGAACGTCATTTGATAAAAAAGTTAATATTGTAGTTAAAGTGTGTATGAAATGGGACTAAAATATATGCGTTAATACACGTCATTGTAATGCCATTTGATATACGAATTGATGATTGCATTCACAAGTGTTTTGTGTTGTTATCGATTGCATAACACGTTCAGTGAATTGAAAGCCAAACACCAAAAGAGTACAGAATATTCTGCACGAGTGGTGAGAGTGTGTTGTGTTGTGTTGTGTCTGTGATGTGATGTCTGAGCCGTCGACCGCACCGCCGATGGACTGGTCGACAGCCGACTTGTGCCGACTCGAACACCAGGTCTGTCCCATCGACGACATTGTGGCCGCGCGTGTTGTCCAGCGGTCGCGCGTCGAGTATCTGATCCGTTGGAGTTGTGGCGATGGCCAGCGGCGGCCCAAACAGTGGTTCCACACGTGGACTCACATCCAACACATAGTGGATCCAGAGATTGAAGCGTTGCTTAAGAGGTATTGTCCGCCTCAAGACATTAACCAATCCGTCATTAATGATGTCAAACAACTGTTGAACGCAAGGAGAGAGAGAGAGAGAGAGAGAGA